CAGGTCTACAGAACAGGTCTACAGAACAGGTCCACAGAACAGGTCCAAAGAACAGGTCTACAGAACAGGTCCACAGAACAGGTCCACAGAACAGGTCTACAGAACAGGTCTACAGAACAGGTCCACAGAACAGGTCCACAGAACAGGTCTACAGAACAGGTCTACAGAACAGGTCTACAGAACAGGTCTACAGAACAGGTCCACAGAACAGGTCCAAAGAACAGGTCCACAGAACAGGTCCACAGAACAGGTCCACAGAACAGGTCTACAGAACAGGTCTACAGAACAGGTCTACAGAACAGGTCTACAGAACAGGTCTACAGAACAGGTCTACAGAACAGGTCCACAGAACAGGTCTACAGAACAGGTCTACAGAACAGGTCTACAGAACAGGTCTACAGAACAGGTCTACAGAACAGGTCTACAGAACAGGTCCACAGAACAGGTCTACAGAACAGGTCCAAAGAACAGGTCCACAGAACAGGTCCACAGAACAGGTCCACAGAACAGGTCTACAGAACAGGTCTACAGAACAGGTCTACAGAACAGGTCTACAGAACAGGTCTACAGAACAGGTCTACAGAACAGGTCCACAGAACAGGTCTACAGAACAGGTCCAAAGAACAGGTCGAAGATTCGATAATTGCAACAACTCATAATATTCAAAAAGAACCTTTGAGGAAAGACTGCTTTAATCAAACGTCACATTTATCACGGTTTTATTAACTTTACTTAATGTCTCTGACTCTGACTCTGACACTGACCCTGACCCTGACTCTGACTCTGACTCTGACACTGACTCTGTCACTGACTCTGACACTGACTCTGACCCTGACACTGACTCTGACTCTGACTCTGACCCTGACTCTGACACTGACTCTGTCACTGACTCTGACACTGACTCTGACCCTGACACTGACTCTGACTCTGACACTGACTCTGACTCTGACTCTGACACTGACACTGACACTGACTCTGACACTGACTCTGACACTGACTCTGACTCTGACACTGACACTGACACTGACACTGACACTGACTCTGACACTGACTCTGACTCTGACACTGACTCTGACTCTGACTCTGACTCTGACACTGACTCTGACTCTGACTCTGACACTGACACTGACACTGACTCTGACACTGACACTGACTCTGACACTGACTCTGACTCTGACTCTGACCCTGACCCTGACACTGACACTGACACCGACTCCGACTCTGACTCTGACACTGACTCTGACTCTGACACTGACTCTGACTCTGACTCTGACACTGACTCTGACTCTGACACTGACTCTGACTCTGACTCTGACACTGACACTGACTCTGACTCTGACACTGACTCTGACTCTGACTCTGACTCTGACTCTGACTCTGACACTGACACTGACTCTGACTCTGACCCTGACACTGACTCTGACTCTGACTCTGACTCTGACACTGACACTGACACTGACTCTGACTCTGACACTGACTCTGACCCTGACACTGACACTGACACTGACTCTGACTCTGACCCTGACACTGACTCTGACTCTGACACTGACTCTGTCACTGACTCTGACACTGACTCTGACCCTGACACTGACTCTGACACTGACACTGACTCTGACACTGACTCTGACACTGACTCTGACTCTGACACTGACACTGACACTGACACTGACACTGACACTGACTCTGACACTGACTCTGACTCTGACACTGACTCTGACTCTGACTCTGACTCTGACACTGACTCTGACTCTGACTCTGACACTGACACTGACTCTGACTCTGACACTGACTCTGACTCTGACTCTGACTCTGACTCTGACTCTGACTCTGACACTGACACTGACACTGACTCTGACTCTGACTCTGACTCTGACACTGACTCTGACTCTGACTCTGACTCTGACACTGACACTGACTCTGACTCTGACTCTGACACTGACTCTGACACTGACTCTGACACTGACACTGACTCTGACACTGACTCTGACACTGACTCTGACACTGACTCTGACACTGACTCTGACTCTGACTCTGACTCTGACACTGACTCTGACACTGACTCTGACACTGACACTGACTCTGACACTGACTCTGACTCTGACTCTGACACTGACTCTGACTCTGACTCTGACACTGACACTGACTCTGACTCTGACACTGACTCTGACTCTGACTCTGACTCTGACTCTGACACTGACTCTGACACTGACTCTGACTCTGACACTGACTCTGACTCTGACACTGACTCTGACACTGACTCTGACTCTGACACTGACTCTGACTCTGACTCTGACACTGACACTGACTCTGACTCTGACACTGACTCTGACTCTGACTCTGACTCTGACTCTGACACTGACTCTGACTCTGACACTGACACTGACTCTGACTCTGACTCTGACTCTGACACTGACACTGACACTGACACTGACTCTGACTCTGACTCTGACACTGACTCTGACTCTGACACTGACACTGACACTGACTCTGACACTGACACTGACTCTGACACTGACTCTGACTCTGACTCTGACACTGACACTGACACTGACTCTGACTCTGACACTGACTCTGACTCTGACTCTGACTCTGACACTGACACTGACACTGACACTGACTCTGACACTGACTCTGACTCTGACTCTGACACTGACTCTGACTCTGACTCTGACACTGACACTGACTCTGACTCTGACACTGACTCTGACTCTGACTCTGACTCTGACTCTGACACTGACTCTGACACTGACTCTGACTCTGACACTGACTCTGACTCTGACACTGACTCTGACTCTGACACTGACACTGACACTGACTCTGACACTGACACTGACTCTGACACTGACTCTGACACTGACTCTGACACTGACTCTGACACTGACTCTGACTCTGACTCTGACACTGACTCTGACTCTGACTCTGACTCTGACTCTGACTCTGACACTGACACTGACTCTGACCCTGACACTGACCCTGACACTGACTCGGTGCTGATGGAACGTACCACTTTCTTCCTGTGAGAACCCGACGGCCTCAGGACCATGGGGCACAGCTTCACGTCCTCGGGCTGAGTGCATTTGTTCTGAAATAAAACCACAAACAATAAAACAAAATGAAAATGTTTAGATAAATCCTACTTCAGACGTGACTCAGAAACAGGAAGAAGAAAAGTAACGAAACAATGATTGGCCGTGATTTCAGTCTGAACAAAAATACTTTCAATAGAATTGATTTGAACCCATTTTTCAAACTCTAGATTAAGCAAAAATGCATTTAAATACTTTAGTAATTATTGTGACCATTGTTAAAATACTGTTGGAACCAGAAAAACCAGGGACGGGAAAAATGTTTCTGTTTCACAAATGCAATTATATTTAAGTATGAAATAAGATGTAAATAAACACACCTGTATATGTGTGGTACCATGTGACACCTGTATATGTGTGGTACCATGTGACACCTGTATATGTGTGGTACCATGTGACACCTGTATATGTGTGGTACCATGTGACACCTGTATATGTGTGGTACCATGTGACACCTGTATATTGGTGGTACCATGTGACACCTGTATATTTGTGGTACCATGTGACACCTGTATATGTGTGGTACCATGTGACACCTGTATATTGGTGGTACCATGTGACACCTGTATATGTGTGGTACCATGTGACACCTGTATATTGGTGGTACCATGTGACACCTGTATATGTGTGGTACCATGTGACACCTGTATATGTGTGGTACCATGTGACACCTGTATATGTGTGGTACCATGTGAGACATGTATATGTGTGGTACCATGTGACAAGTATATTAGCGGTACCATTTGGCACCTGTATATTAGCGGTACCTTGCGGTGCTTCTGTGCGTCAGCGCCCTCTGCTGGTGCGGTGTGGGGACCGTGGGGACCGTGGCGGCTGTGGCGTGGGGGAGCGGTGCGGCGCCCTCTCTTCCTCAGGACGACACAGATCTGAGCGTAAACCAACAGCGTCACGATGAACGGGACGTAGAAGGACGCCACCGACGAGTAAACCACGAAGGCCGGGTCCCCGAAGCTGCAGCTGCTGCTGTCCCGACTGGCTGGAGGCGAGGTTAATGGTATAGCACAGGTCAGAGGTCAGAGGTCACAGTGATTCATAAAAACAGGGTTCCCACAGTTATGCTCCCATTACAATACAACTCTGAATAAATGTGGTTGAAAACATCTTCACCGCGGCACCTGGAGATCTCCCATCGCAGCACTAACAGCTGTTTGTTTTGTTTAAATGTGTGGCAGTGAAACCACACAGAGTCTAACCCATCTGTTATTAAGCTCATGATGAATCGTTACAGACCAGACCAGACCAGACCAGACAGACCAGACCAGACCAGACCAGACCTTTGTCCTGGATCCAGAACAGAGAAACAGACTGAGCCAGAGGTCATTAGTGTTTTACACTGAGCTGGTCTGTCTCTGGTCTCTCTCTGGTCTCTCGCTGGTCTCTCTCTGGTCTCTCTCTGGTCTCTCTCTCTGGCCTCTCTCTAGTCTCTCCCTGGTCTCTCTCTGGTCTCTCTCTGGTCTCTCTCTGGTCTCTCTCTGGTCTCTCTCTCTGGTCTCTCTCTCTGGTCTCTCTCTCTGGCCTCTCTCTAGTCTCTCCCTGGTCTCTCCCTGGTCTCTCCCTGGTCTCTCCCTGGTCTCTCCCTGGTCGCTCTCTGGTTGATGGTCCTTGTACCTGTGTTGTTGAGTCCGAACAGCAGGGGGCAGGAGATGGCGAAGGAGAGAAACCAGACCACAGCGATCATCACGGACACTCTCCTCCTGGAGCTGTAGCGAGTGTTGTAGAGCAGAGGCATGGCCACGGCTGTGTATCTGGGACCAGAACAACACGTAAGAACACCTCACACTCTGGGACCAGAACAACACGTAAGAACACCTCACACTCTGGGACCAGAACGACACATAAGAACACCTCACACTCTGGGACCAGAACAACACATAAGAACACCTCACACTCTGG